GTTCACAGTGGAACCAACATGCATCTAAAATGATGTTTTTATTCCTGGAGGGAGGAAAACAGACCCACCTTTGTTACTGAAGTCATCTATCAGGACAATCTCAGCCAGGTACCTGCGAGGAGTCCTCTTGATGACACTGTGGACAGTCCTCATCAGCGTTGACCAGCCTTCGTTATGGAAGACTATGACCACGCTGGATGTGAGCAGTCTGTCGTCGTAGTGCCAGTACTTACACCTGCACAGAGGACACGGTGTGCCATGAGAAACCTTGTTGCTGCACAGTGTAGTACAGTCTCGCTGCACCAACGCAACTCCTACACGGTAAAACTTGTTTAAACTGTGCATCGACACTGTGACACAGGCGCCGTCTAACAGTCCGACGCTTCAGCTCTGCGTCCATCAGAGCGAGTGTGTGAGCGTCAGGTTAAAGTTCAAAGGCACAGAGAAAACATGTGCACAATGTGTGTGTGAGAATGAGGCTAACGGTGCATTTCAGGGCAGCAGGACCCACAGCCTGAGTCGTACGTGCAGAAACAAACACGAACATAATTCACCTGATTAGTTTGCAGCCTGTACGAGGATCTGAGTGGAAACATTTATGTTCTCACTTCACCTGAGCGATAAAGTCAGCTGTGAGGCAGCACCTGTGTCACTCTACACTCTGCCAAAGGTCTCGTGTTAGAAATCGGCCACAGTGATTTGGTCATCGCGCCCATTTCTGCACTCAGAACTCAGGATACGGCGTACTTAATGATGTGTCGCTTTTCTGTTTATGAGAAACACATTGTGAACACGTGTGTGCACACTCGCCATGATTCAGTATCATTTCCTGATTGATTAAACGTGTTTTTCCCTGAGTGAGGTTACAGGAGGACGATCGGTGTTTCCTGTGGCTATTAACCCTTTAAGACCTACCATAGAACCAAGTCCGCCAGAGCTTATATTATATGTTTACATGCTGTGGAGCCATTTTTGGGAGCATTTCAAGTTGATATACATCAATACAACCATTATAGCCTAAATTTTAATAATATGT